ACACTCTACACTGCCTCTTCAACTGAAGACAAAGAATATCACAAAATACATGTGATATCTTTAAATTCGGAAAGTAAACGGTAGCAAGAAGACTGCAGAACGAAGTTCCTCAAAAGACTAGGCATGAACCACCATATGACCCAGATATACCACTCTACAGAATTTATCCTAAAGGAGTAAAGTCATCTAGCACAGTATTAAATGGTACATGCATACCCACGTTTACAGTAGCACAATTCACAATAGTCAAACTCTGGAACTAGGCCACGTAGACATCTAGATCAACAGATGATCTTAGATGAATCGGAAAAAATTGTAGTATATATGTATACATATATAGAAGAGTTGTATTCAACCATAAAGTACAATAAAACTATGTCTTTTGCAAGTAAATGGAAGGAACATCATGTTACACAAAATAAGCCAAACACAAAACAAAGGTCATTATGTTTTCTTACATATGGAAACTGAGAGGAAATGGGATCTCATGAAAACAGAAGGGAGACCAGCAGAGCAGAGAATGGATATCAGGGAGAAGGAGAAGAGGAGGGGAAAAGGAGGTATAGTGGAATTAAACAGGCCATATGAGCATATCACAATGAAGTATACTTGTATGTATAATTCTATTTCACCAATAAATTAAAAAAAAAAAAACACAGTAAGATGAGAAGAACACATACTTAGCATGTCCAAAGCCCTGAGTTAAATCCAAGCACAAAAAAAAATATGTGACTTTACAGTGCAGAAACTCTGCATCACCACCTTAAATAAGTTACCAAAGCTAATATCACAAATATGTCATATCAATAACATGAACTCCTTCAATAGGTATACTAAGAAGGATCTGTCACTTCTGTGGTAACCTTACCAAAAATTCATAACCTCATTCTAATTATAAGAAAACACTGCAACAACAGAAAGATAAAAGCATTCTATAAAATAAATAACCAGTAGTTTGCAAAAATACTAAAGATATGAAAAAAATGGAATACTAATAAACTATCATAGGAAGTCATAAAGACATAATATGTAAATGTACCATGGTATCCTGGATTGGGTCTTAGAACATAAAATGGGACATAGAGCAGATGGAAAATGAATGAAATTCAAGTAATATGGATAGATAGTATTATAATTATGTTATATCCTGGTTTCATCATCATACTATAATCAGAAAAGATGCTAACATTAAAGAAAACTGAAGCATATCTGGGCATTCTTAGTACAAATTATAAAATTTTTTATAACAAAATTCAAAATAAAAAAATATTATAATAATTCTAAAAGAAAAAAGTGTAGTGATAAAATGATAGAAACTAGATCACTGGTGGAATTTTTTGGATTTTCTAAATATAGAATCATGTCATCAGCAAATAGTAATCGTTGGAGTTCTTCATTTCCTATTCATATCCTTTTAATTTCTATTGTCTGTCTGATTGCTCTGGCTAGAGTTTAAAGGGAAATGTTAAATAAAAATGGTAAAAGAGAGCATCCTTATCTAGTTCCAGTTCTTAGAGCAATTTTTCTCCATTTAGAATGATGCTGGCCTTGGGTTTAGCATAGATAGCTTTTACTGTGTTGAGGCATATTCCTACTATCCCTAGTTTTTCTAGTGTTTTAACATGAAAGGGGTACTGTATTTTGTCAAATGCTTTTTCTGCATCTATTGAGATGATCATAAGATTCTTGTCTTTAAGTCTATTGATGTGATGAATTACATTTATTGATTTCCATATATTGAGCCAATCTTGCAACCCTGGGATGAGTCCCATTGATCATGGTGCACTATCTTTTTAATATGTTTTTGGTATGCAATTTGCCAGAATTTTATTGAGAATTTCTGCATCTATATTCATCAGGGATATTGGTCTCAAGTTTTCTTTCCTTGGAGTGTCTTTGTTTGGTTTTGTTATCCAGGTGATATACTAGCTTCATAAAATAAGTTTGGAAGGGCTCCCTCCTTTTCTGTTTCATGGAATAATTTGGGAAATATTGGTGCTAATTTTTCTTTGAAGGTCTTGTAAAACTTGGCTGAGAATCCATCAGACTTTTCTGTGCTAGTATGCATGTGATGGTTTCTTCTGTTTCATTGCTTAAAATTGATCTGTTTAAATTGTATATGTCCTCTTCATTCAGTTTGGGTAGTTCATATGTCTCTAGAAATGTGTCGATGCCTTTGAGATTTTCTATTTTACTGGAGTATAAATTTTCAAAATAGATTGTAATTATTTTCTGTATTTTAAAAGTGTCTATCATGATATTTCCTTTTTCATCACAAATTTTAGTAATTTGAGTTTTCTCTCTCCTCTTTGTTAGTGTGGCTAAAGGATTATCAATATTATTTATTTTTTTAAAGAACAAACTTTTTGTTTTGTCAATTTTCAAATTTTTTTCTTTTGTTTCAATTTCATTGATTTCAGCTCTTTTTTTAATTATTTCTTGTCTCCTACTGTTATTGGCATTGATTTCTTCCTTTTCTAGGGCTTAGAGATATAATGTTAGGTCATTTATTTATTCATTGACTTTCTATTCTTTTATTGAATGAGCTCAATGCAATGAACTTTCCTCTCAGCACTGCCTTCAGAGTGTCCTAGAGATTTTGATATGTTGTATCACTGTTCTCATTTACCTGTATTAAGTAGTTTTTTCTATATTTAGAAGATCCAAAAAATTCCACCAGAAAACTTCTAGAGCTAAACTTATATCCTGCTACTTCATGTAGAGGATATAAAATTAACACCCATAAATCAAATGTGTTCCTATATATCAGTGATGAATACACTTAAAGAGAAATAAGGAAAACTACCCCATTCACAATAGCCTTAAAAAAAAAATAAAATAAAATACTTGGGAATCGACCTAACCAAAGAAGTGAAAGACCTCTACAGTGAAAAATAAAGAACACTAAAGAAAGAAATTGAAGACGACCTTAGAAGATGCAAAGATCTCCCTCGGTCTTGGATAGGCAGAAGTAACATTGTCAAAATGCCATGCTACCAAAAGCATGATACAGATTTAATGCAATTTCTATTCAAATCCAAATGACATTCTTCATAGAAATAGAAAAAGCAATCATGAAATTCATGGTTTCATGTTATTCAAAAATAACAGACCCAGAATAGCCAGAGCAATTCTCACCGAGAAGAGTGAAGCAGGAGGCACAATATCAGACCTTAAATTATACTATAGAACCATAGTCACAAAAACAGCATGGTACTAGCACCAAAGAGATACACAGAACAATGGTATAGAAAGAATAGAAGACACAGAGACAAACCTACATCAACACAGTTATCTCATGGTAGTGTCAAAACATGCAATGGAGAAAAAATAGCATCTTCAACAAATGGTTCTGGCAAAACTGGAAATAAATATGTAGCAAAATGAAATTAAATCCCTGTCTCTCACCCTGCACAAAAATCAACTCAAAGTGGATCAAGAACTTAGGAACCAAAACATAAACTATGCACCTACGAGAAGAAAAAGTAGGCCCAAATCTCCACCATGTCAGCTTAGGAACCAAATTCCTCAATAAGAGTCCAAAAGCATAAGAAGTAAAATCAAGAATCAATAAATGGGATGGAATCAAATTTAAAAGCTTCTTCATAGTTGGAAACAATCAAAAACATGAAGACAGAGACTATAGAATGGGAAAAAATCTTTATCACACATACGAGCATTAATCTGGATATATAGAGAACTCAAAAAATTTAAAACCAAACAACAACAACCCCCTGCCAAAAAAAGAAAACTCATCAATTAATGGACAAAGGACTAAATACATACTTCCCAGAAGAAGAAATACAATTGGTCAACAACCATATGAAATAATATTCATCATCTGTAACAATTAGAGAAATGCAAATCAGAAATATACTTAACTTTGTCTCGTCCAGTCAGAATGGCAAATACTAAGAATACAAACAACAGTAAATGTTGGCAAGGATGTAGGGTAAACGGGTACATTTTTACATTGCTGGTGGTACTACAAATTGGTGCAACCATTATGGAAAGTGGTACAGTGATTCCACAGAAAACTTGGAATGGAACCACCATTTGACCCAGTTACATTTCTTCAATTTATACCCAAAGGACTTAAAATTAGCATACTATAGTGATGTACCCACATCAATGTTTACAGAAGCTCAATTCACAATGGCTAAACTATGGTACCAAACTAGGTGCCTACAACAGATGAATGATTAAAAAAATTGTGGAATATATACAATGGACTAATACCAGTCTTAAAGAAGAATGAAATTATGGCATTTGCCAGTAAATGGATGGAACTAGAGAATATTATGCTAATTGAAATAAGTCAATCCCAAAGAATAAATGTTTTCTCTGATATGACGATGCTAATTCACAACTGTGGGGGGTGGGGAGGGGTACAATATAGGTACTTAGGATTAGAAGGGGGAGCTAATGAAGAGGAGGGGTCATGGGGGAAAAATGATAGTAGAATGAAATGGACATTATTACCCTATATGCATATATGATTACCAGACCTGTATAATTCTACATCATGTACAACAAGAAAAATAAGTTATACTCCATTTATGTATGATGTGTCAAAATGTGTCTTGTAGAACTAATCAGAATAAAAAACATTTAAAGAGAAGCCCATTCAATAACTATTCCTAGAAATTTAAAGGAAAAAAATTAGATCATTGGGGGCTAAGTACCAGAAGTTGGGATGAAAAACCTAACTGCACAGGGAAACAAGGGATTGTTTTTAGGTGGTGGAAAATTTCTGTATTATGATTGTTCTGGTAGTTAATGACAATAACACATAGTCAAAACTCATCAAATTATACACTTAAACTAGTAAATACAATAAAATTATATCTCAATAAAAATGAGAAAAAAATTACTGATTTAAAAAGAAAAAAATTTTAAACTTTTTTATTTGGGTTGCAATCCCAACATAAGCAGCATTTAGAGAAGACATACCAAATAGATTATAAATGCATACCAAATAAAGTTATATATGTTCTTACCAGATTAATTAACTGAGTGTGCACCACATCTTCTACCAAAACTGCTGTTTCATAAAGAGGCCTCCTAGCATCACCTAAAGAAAACCTGCAAAAGAAAAAGAAATATAAACATACTAATATTAAGAACTGTAAATGAAGAATGGCAAAAAGTGAAATATATGTATTTTAAGAATCAGTTAAATAAAGAGAATACAAATTCTTGCCGCAAATGATCAAAGGATACAAAAGTTTTTATTGAGAAAGTTAATGTTTCCTACACAAAGTGTCATTTCCAAGGAAGAGTGCAGTATTATCTACACTATTTCTTGATTTGTATAGTATGTTAAAATGGCTTTTACTGTGTCAAAATGCAAGCTAATAAACAACTACTTCAGAAAAGAGGCAACCAAAAGTTGATATCACACCCAAATCATCAATACCCAAGTACAATAGCCACATAAAAAGTTTTTAAAACATGTGATATAAGAAAAACTGAAAATTGCTATGAAAATGACATCAATAATGGTTTACAATTACAAACAGGATTACAAATTGGTCTTAAAAGACTTCTTACTTTCATACAGTAGACAAGATGTGCAGAGACTGCCTCCAGGTAAAAATCATTTCAAATGCAAAATCATGAATTAAAATCTTTGATTCAAAGCATGTTTTAAGTAGCAGTAGAAAAGACAAAACAGAAGTCAGGTAAGATGACAAAGTATAGTTTCAAAGAATAAGTACTCTAGACCCAAATTGAATAAGACTCCTTTGACAGCAAACCACAGCCTGAATTGAACTAGCATGGTATTCAATATATAGAAAAGAAAGTAGTCCCTCCAAGTAAGGTAAGAGGTATAGTTAACGAACCTAGTATAAAGTTGAAAAGATAACAGCCAGTTATGGTAAGTAACATTTTTAGTGCGTGAACTAGGCAACCATCCATTTTAATGATGTACTTAAACTGGAGCAGGGCACAGTGGCACAAGCCTATAATCCCATCAACCCAAGAGGATTAGAAAGGAGAATAATAACTTCAAGGCCAGCCTCAGGAATTCAGTGAGATCCTGTCTCAAAAAAAATTTAAAAAGACCAGAGATGTAGCTAAATGGTAGAGGGGTCCTGGGTTCAATTCCCCTCACAAAACAAAATGTACTTTACCTATAGAGGCTCTGCATTAAAGAAATAAAAATCTTCCCTAAGAATTGTTAACCATAAATTCAACTTTCATAATATCAGAATACTTGATACCCATTATAGACTAATAAAGCAAAAAAAAAATAAGTTTAAAGTGATTTTATTGATAGCACTCATAGATACCTGGCAGCATCCCTTGAAGAACATATTTAAACAAACACCTGAAAGCATTCCCATTGAGGACATATCAAGGATCATTACTTCAAACTTATGATTTACAACATACACTAGGAAATAAATCATCATGAATGAAAGTGAGCAGAAGCAACAAATGGCAGAATCAGACCCATAAAGCTAAACATGCCTGAAAAATTAAATAATAAATTAACTATATAACTCATGTTTAAAAAATGAAAAGAACACATAGGAACAAATACAACACATTGGTTAGTTATATTTTTAAAAGCATCAAGGAGAAATATAAATTAAAAATATGATAATAGCATTTTAAAAATTAATGGGAGAGGCGCATTGGTTAGTTATATTTTTAAAAGCATCAAGGAGAAATATAAATTAAAAATATGATAATAGCATTTTAAAAATTAATGGGAGAGGCGCTTGGGGTTGTGGCTCAGTGGCAGAAGACTTGCCTAGCATGTGTGAGGCACTAAGTTCGATTCTTAGAACCACATAAAAGTTAATAAACAAAATAAAGATATTGTGTCCAGTTACATCACAATACCAGACCTTAAATATACTACAGAGCTATGGTTACAAAAACAGCATGGTATCGACACAAAAACAAACTTGTAGACCAATGGTAAAGAATAGAAGACACAGAGACAAACCCACGTAAATATAGTTACATCAGACTAGACAAAGGTGCCAAAAACATTCACTGGAGAAAAGATAGTTTAATCATCCTTTTTAAAAATAGGCTGGATGTGAAGAAATTGAAAATCTTCCACATTGCTGATGTGATATAAAATTCTGGGAAAAAAGTAGGGGGAAACTTAAAAATATTAAACACAGAATTTGTATATGACCCAGCAATTCCACTCCTATGTGACACAGGAAAACAGAACAGAGTTTCAAAAGCTACTTGCACAACAGTGTTCATATTATTCACAAAAGCAAAGATGTGGAAACAACTGAAGTGTCCATATATGTATGACTGGATGAACAAAACATAGTACATATATTTCCTGGAAAATTATTCAGCCGTGAAAACAAAGATCTGGAACATAATGATGCATAAGTCAAACTTGAAAATACTATGTTAAATGAAAAAAATCAGATGCAAAAGGGCACGTATTGGATAATCTTTTTTATATAAGATATACAGAATGGGAAAATTCATAGAAACAGGAAATAAAATGGAGGAAAGCAGAGAAATGAAGAGTTATTGCTTAATGAGAACAGAATTTCTGGTTTAGGATGATGAAAATTTCTGGCAAAGGACAGTGGAGATAGCTGCATGACACTGTGAATACACGTGATGTTATGAACTGTTTACTTAGAAAGAGTTAAAATGGTAAATTTTATGTCATGTATATTTTACTACAATGTTTAAAGGATAAGAACTTAATGAATTTAAGAGCAGAGTTCATGGAGCTAAAAAAAAATTGTGTTCTCTTGGACTTTGCAGACTTTAGATCTATAAGCAAATAAATTTTCAATTGCTTGAAAAAAAAATTGTGTTCAACAACATATCTGAGAAAATCAACCATAACAAACCATGGATAATAAGAGACTATCATGACCAAAGCTATGCCAAAAATTTGGATACTGTAGTGAAAGGGATAAATTTCTAGGAAATATAAATAACCAAAACCAAACCAACAAGGAAGAAACAGAATACTTGATTAGTCCTATAAATTTAAAGAAAGTCTATCAGTAAATAAAATAAACATTTCCTCGCTTGTTATGTTTTACCCAATTTGCAAAACTAGGTCATTCTAACTTTACACAACTCTTTCAGAGAATGGAAACACTATCAAACTCACTTTTTGAGGCTAATGTACCCTTGGTATCAAAATCAAAAAAAGAGCGGGCTAGGGATATAGCTCAGTTGGCAAAGTGCTTGCCTTGCATGCACAAGGTCCTGGGTATAATCCCCAGCACCACACACCAAAAAAAAAAAAAGATTATTAAAAAAAGGAAGATTATAATTTCAGTCATCTACATAAATTTAAAAATAGTAAACTGAATATTGTAATGTATTAAAACGAAAAGGATAATATATCATGACCAAGTAAATATTATCCTAGTGATGATTAATTTTATGTGTCAAACTGACTAGGTCACAGGATGCCCAGATGTTTGGTTAAATGTTATTCTCAGTTTTATTTATTTATTTGTTTGTTGGTTTTAATTAGTTATACATGATAGTAGAATGCATTTATGCACTTTGATATAGCATGCATAGATGGGATATAATTTCTTATTTTTCTGAGTGTACAGAGTTATTGCTTAATGAATCATATTGGTCATGTCATCACATATATACATATAGTAATAATGTCTGTTTAATTCTACTATCTTTCCTATCCAAACATCACCTCCCCTCCCCTCCCATTACTTCCCTCTACCTAATCTAAGGTAACCCTATTCTTCCCTAACCCCTGCTCCCTAGGCCTTACTGTGCATTAGCATTTGCATATTAGAGAGAACATTCGGCCTTTGGTTTTGTGGGATTGGCTTATTTCGTTCAGTGTGATATTCTCCAACTCCAAACATTTACTGGCAAATTCCATAATTTTACTCTTCTTTAAAGTTGAGTAATATTCCATTGAGTGTATATACCACATTTTCTTTATCCATTCATCTATTGTGGGACACCTAGGTTGGTTCCATAGTCTAGCTATTGTGAATTGAGATTCTATAAACATTGATGTGGCTGACTCACTATAGTATGCTGATTTTTAAGTCCTTTGGATATAAACCAAGGAGTGGGATACTGAGTCTTATGGTGGTTCCATTCCCGATTTTCAGAGAAATCTCCATATTGCTTTCCATAGTGGTTGCACCACTTCGCAGTCCCACCAGCAATGTATGAGTATACCTTTTTCACCACATCCTTGCCAACATTTATTGTTGCCTGTATTCTCGATGATTGCCATTCTGACAGGATTTAGATGAAATATTAGAGTAGTTTTGATTTGCATTTCTCTAATTGCTAGACATGTTGAACACTTTTTCATATATTTATTGATCAGTTGTATTTCTTCTTCTGTGAAGTGTCTGTTCAGTTCCTTAGCCCATTTATTGATTGGGTTATTCATTTTTTGGGTGGTAAGTTTCTTGAGTTTGCTATATATCCTAGAGATTAATGCTTTATCAGAGGTGGGTGTAGTAAAGAATTTCTCCCAATCTGTAGCCTCTCTCCTCACATTATTGTTTTATTTGATGAGAGGAAGCTTTTTAATTTGAATCCATCCCATTTATTGATTCTTGATTTTACTTCTCGCACTTTAGGAGTCCTGTTAAAAAAGTCAGATCCTAGGCTGACGTCGTGAAATTGGGGCCTATTTTTTCTTCTGTTAGGCACAGGGTCTCTAGTCTTTGATTCACTTTGAGTTAATTTTTGTGTAGGGTGAGAGATAGGGTTTAATTTCATTTTCTACATATGGATTTCCAGTTTTGCCAGCACCATTTGTTGAATAGACTATTGTTTATCCAGTGAATGTTTTTGGCACCTTTGTCTAGTATGACATAACCATATTTTTGTGGATTTGTCTCTGTGTCCTTTATTTTATACCATTGGTCTTCAAGTCTATTTTGGTGCCAACAGCATGCTGTTTTTGTTACTATAGCTCTGTAGTATAGGTCTGGTATTGTGATATATCCTGCTTCGCTTTTCTTGCTAAGGATTGCTTTAGCTATTCTGGGACTCTTATTTTTCCAAATAAATTTCATGGTTGCTTTTTCTATTTCTGTGAAGAATGTCATTGGGATTTTAATACGAATTGC